TGACCCCCATGCGCGTAAGGAAAATAAGCTCAATTGTAATTTGTGAATCGACTTCACTCCTCTTCTTGTGTCCATCCTTTCTTGTCTTCTCTCCTCCGCCCTCCTCCTGCTGTTGCACTGCTGCCGACCGCTGCTGTTTAGGGCCCTTGAGCCGCCTCGAGCGGGAAAAGGAACGCGCCCTTCGCGAGCCCTCCCGGGCAACTCCGCCGAGCTCTCGCGCCAGATGGCTTTCGCGTGAGACATCCTCATAATTGACCCCCATTAGCAGGCGAAGGAGCCTTGGTTCGCAGCCAGCTCTGGTCGAACACCTGGGCGAGGTGAAGCCACTCGGCTTTCATGTGTTCTAGCTGTGTCGAACGGTGCTCCCGGCGCTGGTCGAGCGCCGCGGCGCTGAGAGCGGCTGCGTGCGAGGCGGCCTCGCGCAGGGTGCCCGCGAGACCCAACGCGCGGGCGCGCGGCGCGCCCGATCTCGTCGCCCATCGCTGCGGGGGGCAAGGGCGAGGAGAGGGGCGCGGGGCACGGAGGCGGGGGAGGGAACGGGGGAGGAGGAGGAGGAGGAGGAGGAGGAGGAGGAGGAGGAGGAGGAGGAGGAGGAGGAGGAGGAGGAGGAGGAGGAGGAGGTAGGAGGAAGAGGAGGAGGAGGAGGAGGAGGAGGAGGAGGAGGAGGAGGAGGAGGGCGGGAGCGGCGGCGGGCGAGCGCGCCTGCGGGCCAGAAACAGTGCAAGACACAGCATAAAACACAGCAGCACTGGATGGGGCGGGCCCATCTTCGGGGCCAGGGGGGGGGCCATCTTTGGGACCGTGGGGATGCCCAGAAATGGGATCGGGATTTTGTCGTGACAGGCGCAATCTTGCGCCCGCCCATGAACTACAATTAACTAGTACATTGAAATTTGATGTTGGGCCCGAGGTTCATATTTTGGGCCCGGGGCGCAAAACCCAAAATAGAAGAATTGAAGGGGGGCGCAAGGATGGGCCCGGGGGCCGCAAGAATGCGCCCGGCAACCCTCTGGGGACCTCGGCATCAGGGAGAGGCGCGGGGCCGTCTGGGCCCGCCAGGCACAGCAGCGCGTCCGCGATCGCGTCGGTTGCTGCCCCCCGGCCGTCGAAGCCGCGCAGGTGCTGCAGGCGCTCCGCGGCGTCGAGGCCCGTGCTCCGCAGGCGCCTCTCCCCCAGGAGCTGCAGCGCGGTGGGCCCCGGCAGGCGGCGGCGAGCCTCGTCCCGATGGCGATCTCGGAGCAGGCCGATCACCTCGCTGGCCAGAGGCTCGCGCCCTTCCTCGCGAGACGGCTCGCCCCGGGGCCGCTGCCGCTGCTCCTTTTTTCGTTTTTTTTTTTTTATTTTTTTTCTAGCTGTATTTTTTCGTTATATAATTTCTCTTATATTTTTTTTTTATTATATTGTTTTGTATTTTTTTTTTTTTTTTTTTTGTTTTGTTTTTAATTTGTCTTCTTATTTTTTTTTTTTTTTGTTTTTGATTTGGTTTGGTCTATATTGCTGTTTTTTTTTTGTTGATAACTATATTCTTTGTTCTTTTATTTCTTTTATATTATCGCGCCCCCTCGCGAGACGGCTCGCACCCGGGGGCCGCGGCCGCTGCTCCGCGGCTACGCCCCCGCGGCAGCTGCGCGGGCCCCGGGGGCTCGGGGGAAGCTGGGCACCAGCCGATCCGATCGTTAGCTCCGGCCTCTGCGGCCTCTCGCGGCGGGGCCTTCTGCGGCAGAAGCTCCTTTTTTTTGTGTCAGTTTATTTTTTCCTCAGGGCGTGCCCCAGCCGACCCAGTCTCGGATGCATCCGCGGGAGGCTGGCCCCATGCAGCCACGCAGCCACGCCCATGCTGCGGCCCCCCGCGGCTACCCCCAGCAGGGTGTCACGGCTGCTGGCGGGCGCGGCGAGTAGCGGCGCGCCCGCCGCCGCGCGGGCCATCGCGGCGAGGCCGCCGCTGGTGAGCGGGCTCGCCTCGCGCGGGGCCTCCACGATCCAGTCGAGGGTCGCGGGCCGCCAGCTGCCCCGGCCTGGGCGGGGGCGCCGGGCGTCGGCTGGCGTGGCCTGGGAGGAGCAGCGGATCGCTTCGTCGCCCCCGCTCGCGACCAGCGCCGCGCAGTGGATGCCCTGCTCCGCTTCGGGGGGGGCGGAGGTCGCCCAGCTCGGCGACCGCGGGTCCACGCCCTCGGCGGCCCAGGGCGAGGCCCCGGCCCCGCGTGCCAGCCGCGCGCAGAGTCCCAGGGGGGGGGGCGCGGCGGCGGCGCCTGGCCCAGGGCGGCAGCGGCGCGATCGGCGCAGTAGCGCGCGCCGTCGGCGACGACGTCTCCGCGGCAGGGGCGGCCGACCCGCGAGCGGCGGTTCCCCAGGCACGCAGCGCGGTATTGGCATGTGTGGCCTTGGGGTTTGCGCGCCCCTGGCGCGCCCCGGCGGCTCCCGCCTGCCCGACAGATCGGCGCCCTCCGCCGATTGACGGTGGGACCGCGCCTTGCGAATCTGGTCAGGAATTATATGATTGGAAACACGGCTACAAAAAAATGCGCCGCCAAAGTGAACCATTTTGGGGCGGGGGTGCCGTGGGCCAGTTTCCGCGGGATGTCTCCGGCCAAACCGTCGAAACCGCCCATGTTTGTTAAATGTTGATGCGCATGTTGGAAAAAAGGGGGTGCCGCATATAATTTTCCGACCCCTTTCTGGAAATGTTTGTTTTTTTGGTTCATTCGGAAAATCCAGAACCGTTCTGTTTTGGGCGCGTTTCCGGTCTCATTTTTAGCAGCCGCGCCCCTGGGAACATCACCTGCTATTTTGGTCCCGGCATTTTCCTGGGGCCAGCTGCTGCGCCCGCCAGTCGTAGTCGTAGAGGACAGGCCCGCGCAGCACTTGCGCTCCTCCGGCTCCGACTCCGACTCCGAGGTCTCCGCGCGCAGCGATCTCCGGCGGGCCAGGCGCCCGCGGCCTCGGGCCTCCAGCAGCCCCCCGGCGGCCCCCAGGAAACGGCAGGCGGCGCGCGCTACCAGGCCGAGCTGGCCCCATCTCTGGGTCTGCTCACCACCCCAACCCAACCCGAAATTCGGGTCTTCGGGTTGGGTTGGGGTGGTCTGGTAGGTAGTCATCTGCGAGCCCGGCGAGCTGGCCTGGTTCCACCACGTCGTCAGCAGTGTCGAGGCGTCTGCAGGTGCTCAGGTGCATGGCGTAGTCGCCCAGGTCACGGCAGGGCGGCTCGCGGCACAGGTGCAGCTTCTTCGACGGGGCGTCCTCCAGGTGGCGACGCAGACGGCCTGAGGTGGACCCCCAGACTGCCCCGCGTTCGCAGATGAGGCCGGTCGCCCGCGCGGGCGGTCCTGCCCTCGATCCCTTGCTGACCCTGGCCGCCTGGCCTTCCGCGACGAAGACGAGGTGCCGCGGGTGGCCGCTGGCGCCGCGGGCGCGCGCCTCGCTGCCTTTCGCACTGTCAACGGGCCGTGGGGCCCTACGACCAGCTCCGGCCGCGGCGGCCGGCCGTCAGATCGACCTGCGATGATCTGTGATGGCCCCAGGGTCCGCTGGGCGAGAACGCTTTGTGAACAAATGTGCGACGCCCATCGTTTGATACATCCCCCATCTAGGTCTCCCAGATGGGGTCGGAGTAGATGGGGTCCCAGGATCGCGCAGCATCAGCATCGCCGACGACAAGGGCACCGCCGATGCATCGGCGATGCACCGGCGATGCAGAACCACCGGATCTCAGCAATCCTCGATTTGCCCCGATCCGTTTCTGTCCCCAGCTTGGCTTCGCCCTGGCGTGAGCGCGAAACTTCTCCAACGCATTCAGCTCAGTCACGGAGAGATGCCCATCGTGCATTGCTCAGCGGCGGCGGACCGCTTGGGAGATCGATCTTCGGGGGCCTCAGCGGGCGGTAGGTATGGGTATATTCGGTCCGCCCTCTGGGGTTCCAGAACGTCGGTCCCCAGTCGGCCCGCGCAGCCCGCCGCAGAAAAGCCAGACCTCCGAGCCACGGGCGCGGAGAGGTTGCGTTGTCCCCCGTCCGGAGGGGCGCGGGGACCTCCCTACGCTTATTACCATTGAGTCGGGCCTGTCCCTCTACAGGAGGAATATTCGAAAATAGTAAAAAAATATTAGTGGGACGATGTTTTGAGCATTTTGTTGTAATTTTGGAGCTATTTTTATATATTTATATATACACACATATATATATATATATATATATATGTATATATATATATATGTTCGCCCAAAACTCCCCTGTAGGGGGACAGGCCCGACCTAATATTACTGATGAGTGACGCGCCCGGGGGGAAGCGAGAAGGAGCAGGCCTTCTCAGAAGGTGGTGGGGCTTCTCAGAAGCCCTCGAGCCTTCTGAGAAGTTTCTGCGTCTTCGGGGAGGGCTCAGCAAACTTCGTGGCAGGCCCGGGGCCTTCCGAGTCTTCTGAGAATGCCCGCGCCGTCTGACCTCACCCCAGGCTCGCCGCCGAATAAGTATCCCCGCCTCGCACCCTCCCACCTTCCCGACGGCGCAGGCGGAAGCTGAGGCTGAGCCGCCGCCGCCGCCCACGGCGGTCCTGGACTCCGACGACCAGGCGTTCGAGGCCAAGCTGAAGGGCCTCGAGGACGGCTGCTCCCCTTGGCGCGGACGCTCAGGCACAGGGATCTGAGGCTCCGAAGAAATGGGGCGGTCGGATTTGAGCTCTTTTCGGCGTCTGGGTGCCCTCGACGGGCCCTGGGACCATCAAAAAATTACGCCTCGACGCAATTGGAGCGTTGGATGTCTGGGGACTCTGGCATCCTCTCGGTGTGCCAGGGCTTTTGCCAATTGGCGGCCTCCGGGGCCTTCGCCGGGCCCTGGAACCTTCAATTATTCATTGCGTGGAGCTTCTCACATGTGCATCTAGTTTCTTGGCACTGTTTCGTTGCGAGCGTCTGGGTACGAGAGAGTCTGGGCATGAGTGGGCCGAGTATGAGAGTCGGAGTGCGGGTGAGCCTGAGTGCGAGCGAGTCCGAGTGAGTGTGAGTGAGTCTTAGTGTGAGTGAGTCAATGCGTGCGAGTCTGAGTATGACTAAGCTTAGTGTAGGTATATCTGACCCTGAGTGGTCCGAGTATGAGTGCGAGTGTCTCAGTATGAATGACTTGGAAGGGAGCAGGCGTGAGAGCAGAGGAGAAAAAAAGGCGGCAAAGAGAGCTCTTTCCTTCTCCTCCTGCGTCCTCCTTCGTCCTGAGCCGTTCGTCCTCCTCCTCCCCCTCGTCCTCCTCCTCCTCCTCCTTCTCCCTGGCGGCCATCCTTCCCCCCCCCCCCAGACCTGCGTCCTCCTCCTCCCACCTCCTTCTTCCTCCGTGCTCCATCGTCCCTCATCCTCCCTGGCCGGACGCTCTCCGTCGGCGAGTCGGGACGCGCGCCGCGGTGCACGCTGCCGCGGCGAGGCGAAGAAGAAGACCGCCGCTGCGGACGAGGAGTATGACCTTGCCGACGAGGTCGCCTGGGGGCTGGGTTGATTCTAGGCCTCCCGGATGGTGTCGGAGTAGGGGTCGGAGGAGCGTCGCCGCATCGCCGAAGCATCAGCGATGCGGCTCGATGTGGAGCCAGAATTTCTCCGCGTTGATGGCGCCGATGCATCGCCAACGTCTCCGATGCATCAGCGATCCTCCGAACCCATCTAGCCAGACCCCATCTAGGGCTGGATGGATGAGGAGAGGGTCGAAGAAGAGAAAGCTGCATAAGCATCAATCTTGTTTGGCCCAAATCAACCATCCAGCGAATCCGTTTTAGTTGTTCGGCGGTCGTATGGATAGGTGAGGTCATGTTTGCACGAATCATAGACCCACATCTCACAGCGTCTGACAGAGACGAGGACGTCGTCTGCCTCGGAGAGAAGAACCAGCATCAACATACCTATTCTGAGGTCGGCGCTGGTTTTCTCGGATCGAGCTCGCTCCGCGTACCAAGGAGCTGTGATCCAGCGCCGATCCAAGAAATCGGCCCACACCTCCAAGAGCTTTTGCACATGTTGTGTTGCGGTGTTGCGTTTCTCTATTATTGGGTGGCCTTTGGAGCTGTTTTGCTTGCAGGGGGTTCCGATTGGACTTAGTCTCGTGTAGGTCGGCCAGGGGGGAAGCTCTGCACAAGCATTTGGCTGTCGCCTTGTCCGAGGGGCCTTGTCTTATTCAATCAGTCTCACGTGTGGATCTGGCAATGTGGTCGCAAGGGGTGGGTAAGAAAGGGAACGAGAGGGACGCAGAGGAGGATGAGTGAGGAACAAAGTGAGAGGGGAAGGAGGGAGGGGCAGAAATAACATCACAATGTAAAGTGTCAGCGCGCGGTAAGCCTGATGTTACGGACGTCTGGCTAGAGTGCGAGAATACGGTCCGTGACGGTCTTTCGTGGGGAGCACATATCACCCGGGAGGGGACCGTCGTCACGGATCAATCTGATGGTGGCACAGAACATCATAGTGTCGTGGCCGAACACATCCGTAGACAGTTGTTTTGATTTGCTTCCATCAGCCGAATACTGTCTGTCGATGTTGTCGGCGCATCTGTCATATTGGTTTTGTTTGCTGGATATCTAGGTATGTACTTGCAATTTCCGAACATTGAATCCGCGTTTGGGCCTGAGACCGTTCGCTCGCAGCATTCCCAGTAATCTCATCCGACGTTGGTCACTCGTTAGCAGGCCGAGGTTTATTACTGTTGAAAGCCAACTTCGGCCCTTTGTTGCAGACCCGTAGTTGTGCTCGCAAGTTTGACAGGCAGTGTTTCCGCTGGGTCGTCAAGATACATGTCTCTCCCTCCTGCTGCTCCTATGATGTCTCCTTTATCCGTAAGGGCTTCGCCCCCGTGCCGCCGGCCTCCTCTCTTAGAATGGGGCTTACCAGAGATGTGTTGCGATGTCTGGACGTTGACGTGAAGCAATGTCGGGACTTCACGCGAGGGCAAATATTATTTTACGAGGGTTTATCGGTGGCGCGAATATTAGGTAATTTACGATGGTTATGGCGTCGGGGACGCGAACATTGTAATGTACTAGGGCTTGTGGCCTAGGGGACGCAAAGATTGCGTAATGTACGAGGGTATATTGCCTCGGGGGCGCAAGTCTTGTGTAATTTACTACGGTTGTTGGCCTCGGGGACGCGACGATTGTATGATTTGCAGACGTGTGTGGCCTCGGGGACGCAATTCAGATATAATTTACAAAGGTTTATGGCACTGGGGACGCGAATATGTTGTAATGTTTAACGGTGTATGGCTTCGGGAGCGCGAATATTCAGCAATTCACGGGGGTGATGGTTTCGGGGGCAAGAAGATTGGGTAATTCGTCACGCTTCGCGTATCCCCACCAGCCCATTCAGAAGCTTTGCCCATGAGAGTTGACGGGAAAAGGGACGAAGAGAAACATCTAGGAAAACAAAGCAAGCAACCAGGGTGAGCCGAGAGATCTTTGGGAGCAAGGGGTTGGCCTTGGAAGGCCTTTTCGGGCCATCCCTGGGGGCCGCGTGGGGGCGAGGGGAAGAGGAGGAGGAGGAGCAGGAGGAAGATGTGGACGAGGAGGAATGGGAGGACGAGGACGCGGATGAGGACGAGGACGAGTGAGGACCAGGACTAGGATGAGGACGACGCGGACGAGGACACATGGAACCATTTAGAGGTATTATTGCGGTTGCTGCTGCTGCTGCTGCTATTGGTGCTATCTGGGAGTTTGGGGGGCCCTCTTGGAACCCTCTGGGTAACCCTGAAAGGCTTCTTGGGATCATCTTGGAGGCCATCGACTACAGGACGGGGGGGTCCCCAACTCAGCTCCCCCCTCAGGAGCCCGCAACCCGCTTCTTGGGGCTCTCTTAGAGCGCTCTTGGAGCGGTCTTGGGGCCGGTTGGAGCATCTTGGGAGCCATCTTGAGCCAGCTTGGGCTATCTGAGCAATCTTGGAGGTCATCTTGGGCTCTCTGAGGCCGCTCGGGGGCCTCTCGGGGGCCTCTCGGGGGCCTCTTGGGGACCTCTTGGGACCCTCTTGCAGCCCTCTTGGGGCTCTTTTGGGGCTCTCTTGGGAGCCCTGGAGCGCCTCTTGGGGCCATCTTCGAGGCTATCGATCAAAGGAGGGAAGCTCCCGATCGAGGTCCCCCCCTTTGGGGCCACAAACCTCGTGAAGGGTGTCAGGAATTTGCATTCCCAGAGGCAGAAAAAGGGCTCTCCGGCTACCCGCAACCGCCGCCGAAAAAAGCCAGGGGAGGGGGTAGGGGCAGGGGTCAAGACGCCCTCCCTGCCCGCAAGCCGTCTCGCTCACTCCCACCCGCCCTCCCAACACATACATAGCACCCGAGCCTGACCCCCGTAATTTTTTTTTTTTTATTTTTTTTTTTCTTTTTTTTTTTTTTTATTTGTTTTGTTTTTTTTTTTTTTTTTTGTCGTTTCACAGCCTCAACATATTCAACAGTCGCTTTGGATGGGCAGCTACTGGGTGGGCGAATCCGCCTCCGCGCCGCGCCCCCGCCGCCCGCCGGCCGCCGCCCCGCCGCCACCGCCGCCGCCCACGCCGCCGCTGTCCGCCGCCGCCGCCGCCACCGCGCCGCCACGCCGCCGCCGCTGTCCGCCGCCGCCGCCGCCGCCGCCCCCACTGCCAAATCGCCGCCGCCGCAGCCGATGCCGCGCAGGTCGCTGCCGCCACCGCTGGCCCGCAGCCGCCGACGCCACCGCCGCCGCCGCCGCCGCCGCCGCCCCCGCCGCCGCCGCCACCGCCGCCGCCACCGCCGCAGCCGCCGCAGCCGCTGCCCCCGCCGCAGCCGCCGCCGCCGCCAAGTGTACTCTGTATTTTTGGTTGGCAGGGATGGTGGGGGGAGGCCGCATCGGATTCGCTGCTCATGCTCCGAATGTGGAGACAGAATGTGTTTTGTATTGTTTGTTACACGGGATGGTGGGGGCAGAGTGTGTTTTGCATTGTTTGTTTTACCAGGGATGGTGGGGGGGTGCCCTCATTGACTTTAATAGGGAACAGTGATCAACCCCCCCGAAGGGGAAGAGGGGTTTTGTTGAAGAGGAAAGAAAGACATCGTTAGACCACCTGCGCTCAGAGGCTTGGTGGGATTACGAGGGTGTATGGCTTCGGGGACGCGAGTACTGCGTAGGATTATGCTTTCGGGGACGCGAACATTGTATAATCCCACCAGCCCTCTGGGCGCAGGTGGTCTAGGGAGTTTCCTCTTCCAACCCCCTTCTCCCCTTCGGGGAAGGGTTTACCCCTCCCCCCATACCCACCCACTGGACCTGGGCAGGGGGTCCGCGAGCGGTCAGAGCTTCCAAGACCAAAACGGCTCCACGAGGGGTTCAAAGAGCCCAGGATGAACCCCAAGATGGCTCAAAATAGCGCAATCTGCCTCAAGATGGCTTCAAAGATGATCGAAGAGGCTCCAAAACCGCCTCAAGACAGCTCCAAGAGGCCTCCAAGAGGCCGCCGAGACTCCCAAAGAGACCTCCAAGAAACCAGAATCCTTCAAACACCTAAGGTAAACCATTGATGTTTGCCTTCTCGCCTTCTCGCTTCCGATGGCCATCCGAACCCTCAGGACGGCTCCAAGAGGGCCCAAGAGGGCACCAAGAGGGGCCCAAGAGAGCCCCAAAACGGCCCCAAGAGCGCCTAAGAGCGCTCCAAGAGCGCCCCAAGAGTGGTATTTTTTGGGCTCCCGAGGGGGGGCGTAATTAGGGAGGGAACCCCTTCTTTGATCGATCTCCTCCACGATGGCCCTAGGAGCGCTCCAAGAGGGCTCCAAAAGGCACCCAGACGTCTTCAAGAGGCGGCCAAAACGCTTCCAAGAGGCCTCCAAGAGACCCCCAGAGGCCTCACCAGGATCCCCGAGGCACCCAAAAAGCCCCCCAGACGCTCCAAGAGGCTTCCAAAACAGACACCAACAGCAACAGCACCACCACCAACAACAGTAACAACGGCACCAGCAGCAGCACCAGCAGCAGCACCAACAGCGCGAGAACCAGCAGCACCAGCAGCAGCAGCACCACCACCACCACCAGCAGTACCATCAGCAGCAACAGCACCAACAACAGCACCCGTACCATTCGGTACCAGAGATCTCCTAATTCACCGTTGTTGCCCACGCTGTTTCACTATGTGCGTCTCTTCCTCCCTTCTCCCGTCATCTCTCCTGGGCATCGTTTCTGGATGGGCTGGTGGGGACATTTTTTTCGTCGCAGCCGCAGGCGAAGGCGCGCAGCGGCGTCACAAGTCAGCTCGGGATCTGGTGGGGATATTTGTTTCGCAGCAAGAGGTGAGCGCGCCAAAAGCGTCAGAAAAGTAACACGGGCCGCAAACACCCTAATTGCTGGCGCGCGCGCGCGGAGCAAGTTGACAAATCCTACCGCCGAGGGGAGCTGCGCCGGGGGGTGGAAGCTGCCAGCTGCAGAGGCGGCTGGAAAGTTGCAGCCTGCGAGAACCATGGGAGCGAGATCGCCAGGCACGGGAATTACCTTGTCGCCACCGGGCGCCGGAGGAACGGGATGCAAACCGCCAGGGGCCAAGCCAGGCAGGGAAAGAAGGCTGAACCACTCCTGCGAGCACCAACATCCCAGGGGCCAGCGGGGGACCAGAGCCAGGGAAGTGCATGCACTGCCAGAGCTGGTCAGAACGCGCGGACCTGACTGCCAGAACACTCGAAGCCACGGGCCCGACAGAGTGCACGGCCAGGTGACGGGCGCCTCCACCAGTGTGGATGAGGGCGAAACACAGCGCCAGTGACGGAGAAAGAGCCAGACACGGCCAAGCCGACGGTGTCTGGGGACCAGGGCGCGGAGGAGTGCAAGCACATGCGCCAGAGCTGGTCAAGACGCGTGAGTCGAGGACGCCACGCGAGGGCCAGTGCCAGGGATACCACGCCAGACCATGGCAGGGTCAGGGCAGAGGCCAGAGGGACCAAACACGGCCGAGGCCAGAGGGACCAAACACGGCCGAGCCGACCGGTGCCTGGGGACCAGGGCCCGGTGTGAACGCACGGGCACGGGAACTGGTCAAGACGCGTGAGTCGTAGACGTCACGAAAGGGCCAGGGCCGGGGAAACCACGCCAGGCCTTGGCGGGGTCCGGGCAAAGACTAGAGTGAGAGCAGTACAGAGACGGCACGGGGCGTCCCGCCCGGCATTGGCGGCGACTGGGAGCCAAGTCCCCAAGGGCGGGGAAACCACCAGTGGCCGAGCAGGGAACGATGCTGTCCTGGGGGCCGAAGCCGAGGGACCACGTCAGGCCGTGACGAGGTCCAGGCGACGGTCCGAGCGAAACCCACTACAGTGGCGGACGTGGCCGATAGGCGCGCTGCACCCGCCCCAGCAGGATCAGCGGGCCCAGTATTGACGGCACCCGGGGGGCATCTCAAGGGCGAGGGATTTTGCCGGGCGTTGTGAGGGCTCTTACCGTACCACCCAGGGCAGCCGGTGGAGGTTGTGGGCCACTGCTCTGCCGGGTGATGTGAGAGCTGGTGTGCCATGCGGTCGCTGACAGACATGCGGTCTGGTGGGGATACGCGCAGCGTCAACAATTTACGAAGGTTACTGGCCTCGGGGACGCGAATATAGCGTAATGTACTACTGATCCTGTCCTCGGGGACGCGAGTCTCATGCATTTTTACGTGTCCCACGACCCCCCGGATTTCAGATAACGCGATTCGAGGACGCTAACCAGGACGGTTTTCGGTCCCCCCCCCTCGCGCGTTCAGCACCAATTAACGGTAAGGAAACAGAAATCAGGACTGTAACAGTGGAAACCGGAAACTGTAACCGGCACAGGGAGCTGCAAGCCTAGTCTTCGCAGCCTGATGGCCCCGCAAGGGGACTGGCGGATTTCCCCGCATCCGTTTGTGTCATTTGCTTTTCGCTATGCCTTTTACCGATGCTCCCCCCTCTATTTTTCTTCCGTGTTCCCTTCTCCATCCCTTTTCCCTCCGCCTCTTTGTGCGCCGTCTTTCAAGCAGTGGCGAAGCGTCCTGGCTCGCCAATAGGCCTACCAAATAATGTTCTAAGAACATGTTGCGGTTTCAACGAGATGTTTTTAGTGTATTTTCTAGTTTTTGTCTCCTTGTTTCTTTCTTCCTTGCGACCCTGAAGTGTCTATTTTCTTCCCCGTTTTCTCCTTTCGTTGTTTCTCCCTCTTCGTTCTTTTTATATTATTCCCTTCACCATGTCCCCCCCCGTCTTTTTAGATCTTATTTTAGATTTTATTCTTTTTTTTTTTTTTTTTTTTTTTAGGCGCTTATCTTTTAGCTTATTATCTTTTTTTTTATAGTTTCTCTCTTTCTTCCTTTTCTTTTGTGTTATTTAGCTTTTTTTTCTTTTTTAGCTCCTATTTCCTTTCTCACTTTTAACTTTTTTTTTTATTATTTGCCTTTTTTTATTATATCTTTTTTTTTTTTCAGATTTTTTTTATTTTTTATTTTAGAAACATTTCTGGCTGGGACTATCTTGTTCTAACACATCGGGCTTCTGTTCTAAGAACCTTTTTTGTTCTTGGAACATTTGGGTTCTGAGAACAGTTCGTGGCAGGCCTACAGGAATGCCGGGACGGTCGGTCCCTGCTCAGGTCTTCCTTCCCCCATCGGCGCTCCGTTTTCAGGCGAAGCCTATAGGAATGCCGGGACGGTCGGCCCCTGCTCAGGTCTTCCTTCCCCCACCGGCGCTCCGTTTTCAGGCGAAGGACCAGATCGCCGAGCTGAAGAGCCAAGAGGCGAAGAGATTAAAGGCCACGCGGCCTTCGGCGGCCGCCCGCCGCTGTCCCCAGCGGCCTCTTCGCGCGGATTTCTGCTGATCGGCGCTCGGCCCCCCTGGCGGCGCCCTCGGCGCGGCCCCCTGGCGCGCTCCGCGCGCCAGCGAGGGGGGCCAGCGCCGACTCGAGAGATCCGCGCGGACCTCCTCACGCTCCGCGCATCCCCACCAGCCCATCCAGAGGCCCTGCCCACGGGATCCCCCCAAAAGAGTCCAGGGGAGGGGTGAGGGGGAGGGGCAGACCCCTCCCCGTGGGGGAAGAGGGCTTTCTTGGAAGAGGGAAGAGGAATCTCGTCAGACCACCTGTCGCCCAAAGGGCTGGTGGGATTGTAGATGCCGTGTTGCTTTCTCTGGGCTCACCCCGCCCGCCCCCGCGTGCCACAACAGAGAGTCCCCAGGGCCAGCCTGCGACCCGCGTCCGCGGCACGGCCCTCCCCTGAGCCCAGCCCGCCGTCCTCTCCGCTGGCCCTGGGCGTCGGCGTGCTGGGGCCATTGGCCCGTTGACGCCAGGCAACCTCGTTGCTCACGGGACTGCTTCCACCGCTTCGGGGTCGGGGCCGGAGTCGTTCATCGTCTGTTGTCCGTCGTCATCGTTGGTGATGGTGGTCGTCGTTGCAGGAGGAGGAGGAGGAGGAGAAGGAGGAGGAGGAGGAGGAGGAGGAGGAGGAGGAGGGTCGGATGGCAAGCCAAGTGCGCGCAGCGCCGGCGCCCTGGTCGTCGGTGCCCTGGGCGTCGGCGCCGGCGCCTCAGCGTCACCCACACATTTACTCACACCATGTGTGCGTTGGCCCCCCAGATGCGACGTGCGCGCTCAGAAATCGTGCAGCCTGTGCTCAGTGGCGGTCGCTTTTTGGCCATACCGCCTGGGTGATGATCGACCATGAGATGTTAGCACTACAGCCTTGGTTTGGACGTGCGCCTCCGAGGGGGGCCGCACAGTGCTGGTATGTTCTCCCCCGTCCGAAATGCATTGCTCAGGGGGGCGCAGGCGTGTTGTACAGGCTGAGGTGGGGATGTATCCGCAACCACCGCCCAGAGAATCGATCTTCGGGGGCCTCGGCAGGCGGCGGATGTGGAGATATGATCCCGGGTCGACGGTTCACAGGCCCCGCCCCCCCAGTTGAGATGGGTCCCATGAACGGTTCCACATGCCCCCCCCCAGATGGGAGGGGGGGGGACACGGCGACGAACTTCCCCACACCCACAGGGGAAGGGTTGGGGGTGCACCGGCACCCTCCACCACGCCACGCCCATAGGGCCACGACCACAGGGGGGGAACGGTCCCATTCGCGAGGCCCTCGCGAGGCTCACGATCGTCCCCGTCCAGCGGGGGGGGTGGCTCGATCCCATACGCATTGGGTTGGGAGGGGGGCGGGCAGCCCTGGATCACACGTGCTCGGGCCTCAGGGGGCCCAGTTCTCTTCATGTCCGCCGCCCCGTGGGTCCCACGACGCCGGCTCCCCCGGCGGTGGACACGGGCAAATCCCCGCATCGCACTTATCGGGGGCGGAAGAGAGGGGGGCGATGACTAGGGGGGGGGATTTCATGGCGTGGGCCATGATAGTTCCCCAGATTTCATGGCGCTTCTTCTTGATTCATTACGTCCATGGCCCCTTCCCAGGGGCCGCGCACATGCCGCCAGCCATGATTTGCGCCCCCCCCCCCCCCCCAGTCCTCCCCCGCTCTTGGACGGGCAGAACGGACGGCGGGCGCGATCGCCAACGCCCAGCGCGGAGCTCCCTAGTGGGGCACGTTGGGGACCTGCGCGATTCGGAGCGCAGCCAGCCCAGCGAAGTCCGCCGGGAGAGTCCCGCGCCGGTTCCCCAGCAGCGCCCCGGAGCGTGGCTTTTCCCCACTCCGAGCCCCGCTCCCGCAAAAGGACTCCCACGTCTGCGCTGCGCACGCCCTCCAGCCCTCGTGCACAAAGGCTGCAGATTCTGAGCGTGCCTCTCTCCCCCCGCGCTCTCCTCCTCCCGCCGCCCGCCATGTCCAATGTGGCAGCGTGCACCCCACTCCTCCTCCTCCTCCTCCTCCTCCTCCTCCTCCTCCTCCTCCTCCTCCTCCAGCGCCGATGCTGAACTTGACCTCCCAGGAGATGCGCCAATCAAGGGTACCCTTGTGTCCTGTGTCTCGCGACCCGTGCCTCCTGCATTCCTGTGGCAGTGTGGCCCTCGGAAGGGTCTTGTGTCCTCTCGCGCGTCCTGTCCAATCGAGTCCGACTGTATCCATGGTCCATATCTGAGGACCGGCCGAACCTTGGCGAGCCCGGATCATTCCAGCGCGATGGAACTGCATCCCAGTCTACTCTGGCCTGGTTTGGGTTAATTGACACCCCCCGATAATCATTTTTACCCCCCCTTAACCACTGAGTGATTATTATCCACGGCAAATGTAGAATTGGTCGGGAAAGAGTGGCGGCAAGGCCGAACTTGATATTCGCGGGGTGAAGTTGCGAATCGAAGTTGCTCTCTTCTTATGTTGAGTAGCAAGGATCCCTAAGGATATCCTGAGGAATCCGAAGGCATTCTATGGATTCGATGGATTCCCCAAGGAATCCGATGGATGCCCTGAGGAATCCTATGGATACCCTGAGGAGTCAGATGGATTTCCATAGGATTCCGATGGGTTCCTGAAGGACCCCGATGCATGTTTCAATGTATTATTATTATTATTATTATGAAAATTCAGGGACATCTTGATCATCATCAGCGTCATCATCCTCATCATTATGCTGTCATCTCCAGACAAAAGATTCGTATCCCGCCGTGACCCCGAACTTTATTATGTCCAGGGGGTTATCATCGGGAGGTGCTGGTTATTGGCTTTCACATCGGGTTGAATAGCTCATCTGTTGTCTCCGCAAAGACCTTCCTGGGGTTGCTTTGGACATGGATAAGTCGTTTCAGAGCATCCCAGAACGCTTTCAGAACGTTTTCATAGCGTTCAAGGAAGCCTATGAGAAGGCCGCGGCGCCCGATACACCCTCCAGAACCGCCCCATTTCAGAGATCCCCGATTTATTCCTGCCCGAGTTTTCCCCCTGTCCTGTCTTCGTCTTGGAAGACCTCCTGGGAGTTGCTTCCTGACCTCCGCAAAAAGGGCGCCACCCGCCCCCGACGGGCTCTCGCACCGTGGCCCGCCCAGCGTTCCCCGCCCCCCGTCCCGACTCGCGCCTGCGGCAGCCCAAGACCCCTCGAGGAGGAGGAGACGGTGGCGTTGGAAAGGCGGTGTGCGATGTGGCGCCGTCGCATTCTTGCATCTTTGCAGTCACCTCCCCAAGCAAGTCGCCTCCCGCCACCGACGGGCACGCGCGCCACGGCACGCCCCGCGTTTGCTCCCTCCCGCCCCGACGCACGCCCGCGGCCGCCCACGACCCCGCCAGGAAGAGACCACGGCTCAACAGCACACGGTTGGCGTTGGAGTAATGGCGTGCGATGTGTCGCCGCCGTATTGTGAAGGTCTTGCGGCCAGTGCCGCCGACCTTGACGGGGTGTGACGACGACGACGACGGCGACGACGGCGACGACGGCGACGACGGCGGCGGCGGCGGCGGGCGGCGGCGGCGGCGGGCGGCGGCGGCGGCGACGGACGGCGGCGGCGGCGGACAACGACGGTTGGGGCTGGAAAAAAAACGTGCGATATGGCTCCGCCGTGCTGTTGCGCACGAGAGGAACTCAGACATCCGCGCCTCCAGAAAAAAGGGAGCGGCTGGGTGCCCACCGTTTTTGACTTATGAGTGCCCTCAACCGACCCAAAGTACGCGGTCCAGACTTCCAAGGGTCCGCGCATCGAAACATTGGAGCGCCGGATGTCTGCGTTCTTGCTGACGAGAAGAATACCTTTGCAATCACACAGCCTACAGAAGGACCCCCCCGGGATGGCCCACCCACGCGCGCTGCATAATCCTTGAACCACTCTCGGACGGCCTTGTTTAGCGAAGCCTCGGCCTTCCGAGCCCCGTGGACTTGCTGGGCAGTCTCATCATCTGCTTTACAGTCACTCGAGCGAGGAGGCGCTCTGAGCCAAAAGCACGTTCCTCGTGGTCAGGGGTGCGCTGGTACAGGCAGGTGGGCCCGATCCAGCGGCGCGCCCAGGTGGCAGAACCCTCTTAGGTGTCGCCGGGGCTTCTCAGTAGCCTCCCCGCCTTCCAGGAAGCGTTCTGAGCATTCTCCGAGGCCGCAGAGGGGCTGCTCAGCAGGCGTGGGAGCTTCTGAGAGGCCCCGCGCCGCCCTCCAAGAGGGCCGGCCCCCTCCCCCCTGGACGCGCGGCCAACGCTTCGAGGAGGACAGCTCTCTTCCCGCCCAGGCCCTCAAGGCGAAGGCCATCGCCGAGGAGGACTACCCCGAGGCCAAGAGGGTGAAGCACAGGCTCGCCAAGCTGGAGGACGCGGCGCTGGCCAAGCCGCCATGCTCTGCGAGAGAGGGGCGCAGGGGCGCGGGGGAGTTCGGATGCTCGCAGGGGGGCGGGGTCGTTCGACGGCACGCGCGAGAAGAGGATGCAACGCCATGGGAGTTTGGATTTAGAGTCGGCGCTACATTTGAATTTCTCCTGCGGCACATCATGTTCTGCCCTGCGTGCAGCAACTGTGCGCGGGAGGGAGCGGGGGGGGGGTAGTAGGGCGAGGTAAGGCGAGGTAAGGGCGCGGCGCGGTGCTCCGCGGCGTGCTGCAATGTCATGGGCAAGGGGCGGAGGAGGCGCGCCGGCTTTTCTTGTTGGGGGGAGGGTGTTTAGAGGAGGACGAGTTTCAAGAGGGAAAAAAACACACAGACACAATTAATCGTCGACTCCCAGGAACATATGCAAAAATATGGGAGTTGGGGGGGAAGACAAAAACCCAGAAAATATTTGAAAATACGGGGGATCCTGTTATTTATGTGTTTTTATTTGTGTGTCCCAGTTCCCCTTCAGAGTTGAGACAACGGTAGTTGGCCGTCGGGTGGCCTTTCGTAGCTACGGCTGGGCGCAGCTTGGGGAGCTTGCGCGGTTGGGCCCCAGGAGGGGTGCCAGGACCGATTTTGAATTGCTGGCTCCCCCTGCCCGAGGGTGGCAGAGATACAGGCTTCTCAGATGAGGTCCGAGCAGATCGGTCGATGCACTGGCGACTGTCTCCGGCCCCATGTACTGTAGGCTCCCGTCGTGTCGACGCGGCGCGGGCGTTCCAGGTTGAACGCCACTAGTGGCGTAGAACCGGCTAACATGGAACAATCTGGCGATCGAAAAGCCGCCGATCGTTCAAGGTCGAAGGATCCATGCGGTGCCAGAAACCAACGCCGGGGTCGTCAAAACAACAATCTGCCGCACTCGGCGATGCATGGTCGATGCGGCGGGATCCCCGGAGAATCGACGTTGCGAACAAAAAGTAAGTCACCCCGACGGAAGGACCCCCTAATGAGCATCTTCCAAACGAATATGACAATAATCATTATCGCTTTCCGTGTGAGTTCTGGGGTTCGCTTCAAATTTCCTCATCGCCCTTTTCCATTTTCGCCTCAGCGGAAACCCTCCTCTCGCCCTTTGTGTTTCCTCTTCGTCCTCTTCGTACTGAGGCTTAGAGGTATGTGTAGCCCTTCAAGTTGGTTTTGCGTCTGGTTTTTTCAGCTTAATCGTCGCTGTGTCCCGAGGGCCCGCTTTTGAGGACCCCCGCGATTGCACTACTCCTGAAACGCGCACCCAAGCGCATGCCCAAGAACATGCCCGCGCACATCCATGCATAGTGACGTATGTTCGGAGCGTGCCATGGCATAGCGAAGCACATCATATCATATCATAACATGCCATAATGGACCAATGCATGCAACAGCTCATCTTCCTCATCGTCATTGGTTTGTCGATGTTAAGGTTGTTGCAATTCCTGCGTCAGTCAGTAAGGTTAGTTGGGGGAGCTTGTGGACCCCCTCATTGTTATCAACCACTAAGTCGTCACCAAGTTACGTTTGAAAAGAGGCACCTAGGTATCCTCCTTACGTTCCCCTTCCCAGTCCTTCTCTAGTTCCCGATCAACGCATTCAGGTAATGTGCGATGAAGGCGAGTTGCAATGTTGAGGTTCTTGGCTTATCTATGTTCGCTCGGGCGCCGCTGTCCCCCGAGGGCCCTCGTCGAGGCCCCGAGCGATTGCATTTGTATTCCTAAAGCGCGCGCCCGAGCACATGCCCAAGCACATGACCAAGCACATGCCGACGCGTGCCGGCATGACGTTGTGGATGCCCCCCGTATGGCTGCAACTTCGTGGCCCCCTGGGGGGCCAGCGGCGATGCCCAGCGCGGTCGCGGCGGCCGCGCCCTTCGCCCTCGGCCAAGCGGCGCCCGCCGCCCCCGCGGCCGCCGCGGCGCTGACGCCCGGCGCCGCACGCCCAGGCGCCGCGGCGGCCGCGCCCGCGGGCGGGCTCGCGGCCACGCCCGCAGCGGGGCTTTCAGAGGCGTCGCCGCTGGGCGCAGTGGAACCCGTCGTGCCTTATTTGATGCTCGCCACCGTCGAGACCGCCGCGCTCGGGCTCAGAGGCTCGGCCGCCGCGGCAAGCGGAAGCGAGGGCATGAGTGGGGGCGACGGCGCGCGCGAACACGACGCACGGCGCCCTGTTAGCACGCGGAGTCCGGCCCGACCCCGCGCAGGAGGCCCGCGGGCGCGAGGCCGCAGGGGGCGCTTGCCCCCTCGCCGCGGTCCCGCTACACGGTCAGTGCATGCGGCGGCCTTGGCGAGATGCAGTGGCCTCGCTGACCGAGGCTCTTCTTCCTGATTGGTGCATCGAGCGCCCCCGCGCCAGCGCCGGGGGGGAAATCGGCGCAGCGGCGGCCTGATCGATCACCGCCGCTTTTTCTTTTTTTTTTTTTTTTTTTTTACACTTTTTTTTTTTTTTTTTTTTTTTTTTTTTTTTTTCTTTATGATCCATCGCCTGATCAAGGTTATTTGGGGCGTGTCGATGCACGCGTTTGGCGTGGAGGCCCCCGAGGATTTCGAGTCATGCGACTGTCTGGAATTGCCGAGCGTCGCTGGCATCGAGTTCCTGATGCGCGAGGTGCAGCTTGTCAAGCACGGTGGCTTCTCGGGCGCTGGGCTGGCTCCGGCTAGAGCGGCGGCGGCCGCGGCAAAAAGGGCAGCGGCCGCGGCCGCGGAGGCGCCGCCGGCGGTTTCGGATGCCCAGACGATTTCATGTTTTCCGAGAACAGCGCGATGGTGGAGAGGCGATGGTGCGCCCCTCCCTCGTCGAGCGGGTTGGCAAGCAGGCGGGGCGCGACGTCGACGTTTTCAAGCAGGTACGCACAGCTCGATAAGAAGGGGCCGACGCTGGCCACGGCGCGGGTTAGCCTGGCCTTCCCCGGCCCCCTGCTGAACAATTTCTGAGGGGCCAGGTTCGCCTTGGCGCGCGAGCCTCGATTATGTGCCGCTTGAGATTGCACCGCTCATGTCTCAGGCTTATCTCTCTCGGCTTGCGCCCCCCGCCGCAGTGCGACACCTCGTCCCATGGCTGGAGCCGTGCCCTCGCGACCTTCCCCCCCGTTTCAGTGCCGGCCTCTTCTGGCCCCCATCGGGTCTTCCATCTTTTGCTGGTTTCGCGGGGGGCTCGAGATTCACCGCCAGTCAGCGTCTTCGGTCTTGGGGGCGGCGGCGCTTATGAGCGAGCGGCATGGTTCGCGCCCCATCAGGAACGATCATGAGGCATCCGCGGCCCAGGAGGCGCGCGCGGATCACGCCCGCCGCGCGGTCGATTGTTTCGGCGCGACCCGCGCGTTGGCTGCGCCGTCGCCCCCATCGGCAAGGCTGACATAGACGGAGTTGCGCGCCCTCCAAGCGGGCGGCCGCCCGCGGGGATCCTGCAGCCGAGCGGCTCCGTCGGCGGCGCCATCGTTGATGGGCTGAGCGCGTTTCGGCGCCCTGGTTCAGCGAACGCGGGCGCTTGCTCCGCTATCCTCCGCGTCTACGATGATCCTCGCCTCCGCTTTCACCTTCGGCTGCGCGCGCAGTTGTTTCAACGCCTCAAGTCCTCGAACTTTGTTTGGCGGCAGAGCGGGCGACCGTCTGCAGTGGAGATTCTCTGCGGCGAAGAAGAGTGGGCGCCCCCGACGCGGGCGGCAGGCTGGAGTTTTTTCTGATAACCCTCCTCGCTTTGACCTGGCCACTGGCTCGGCGTTCTCGCGTCTGTCTGGAGGTTGACGGAGGGGGCCCCATCTTCGCGGGGGGAGGGGGGGGGGGCAGCGGAGAGAGCGATTTCCATGGACTCAGCGGCCCCAGGTGTTTGGGCAGCATGTCGAAATCCCGCGGATTGGGGCTGGGGCCCCGGGCCTTGCTATGGACAGCGAAGGGGGCCACTCGCGGGCTCGCGACTGGGTCGCGCCGCGCTTCGCCGCCGCCCCCATGGGCTGGAAGCGCAATCTCTGCATGTGCCAGCGGATCATGGGATTTCGACTCCGCTCCAACGCCTTGGCCTCGCCGAGTTGAGCTTTTGATGATGTCCAGCTTCTCGTCCGTCTCGCTCGCTCCTCTAACCGGGCGGCGCGTGCCGAGTTTGTTGGCGCTGCCGCGACCGAGTCCGTCGATCGCAGCGTTCGGGGCCCCGGATTTCGCACCCGCGGCGCATCGGCGCCAGCGGATGGAGGCGCTTGGGCGGGGCGCCCGACTGCGAGGCACCGACGGTTGGGATCAACCGCCGTGTAGGCTGGCGTAGGTGTCTTGGGTGTCTGGCCGTGGCGAACATGAATTGCGCCGCTGGGGATCTTGTCAGGGTCGTCGCGTCGCACTTCGCGCCCCGCGCGCTGCTGCCGCGGGAGGTAATGCCTCGGTCGCAGGCCTCTTATCCTCTCATCGAGGCAGCTGGCCATGGTTTTCCGCCTGTGTGGAAATATGCTAGCGAATGCATCGACGGCGCGCCGCCCGCGTCGCGCTCGCTTCCAGCGACTCCAACGCCGCCCTGTCCCCGACAGCACGCTGCGCTGGCGTCTCTCGGTGGGTTGCCGCAGTGGCCGGGGGAGCTCGCGGCGCGACTGGCACCCGGGAAGTCGGTCGCCATATGGCGCGTGCGCGGCGCTCGGCGGCCCGCGAGGCCTTCTTCAGGCCGCGGGATTCGGCTCTGACGTGCTCGGTCATGGAGCGGCCGCCTCTCCCCGGGACTCCGAGGCCCCGAAGGCCCCTTCCTCGCATTCCCGAGTCCATCTATGGCGACGACTGGTTTCTCGTTCTGTCCGTGGATGCCCGGGCGGCCTTGGAGGCTCGCTCGCCGGCTCTCTTCGCGAGCAGACAGAATTCGTGGCGCTCAGCATTTTGGCCGCAAGCATCTGGTCTTGAACGATAGCGGCCCCCACTCGCGCCATCGCCACGGGCCGATCGTCGAGCCCAGGAATGCTGCAATGTTGTCGGCAGAGTGCGGCTTTGCTCTTGGGGTCGAACAGATGC